CCTGGGGATGGGCTTGCCAGAGCTCCTTGTGCTTGCCACAGAGAAGCAAAGGGATGCTTGCGACAGCCCTGGGTGCAGGAAGAGAGGAGATTCCCAAACCAAGAGACATGTAAAACCTTCTTCTTGGCAGGCAGCAGGGGCTCAGGGTGAGGGTTCACTCCGGAAGTCACCAAGACTATTTCACACACCAAAACCCCTGCCCCTCTAAAGTTCTTTTCAGAAAATGGTAATGTGGGTTCATCTCATGCTGCTCACTTTGGGGACACGAAGGACAGGACTTCTTAGAATTAATGCTTTCTCTACTTAAATTCTTCCTCTCTCTCAACCTGACAAGAAGCTTCCTGGGTGCTACAGTGGATGGGGGAGGTATTACACTTGATCTCAGTCAAAAGCCTGAGAAGCGATTGATGTGCAGGGATTAAAATGTATTAATTTACATTTACCAATAAAGAGCCCCAGACTTTTATATATTCAATTGCTATTCCTCTTTCTGAATTCTGATGCTGATATAGAATTTGGTAAGTTTTAAACTCAGTTAATCTTCGATTATTCAAACTCTTCTATGCTGGCAAACTGTAGGTAGTTGGCTTGCAGGTTTTTTCTTCGGAAAACACATCACACATAAGCACACGTCTTTTGTGAGCAGCAGGTTCACACACTGAGGGCTTTCTACGGCTGAGAGTCACCCTTCTCTCCTGTTCTCTGATGCAAGCCTGGTGCGTTTTCTGCCTGGAGTGGTCCACTTGGTAAGTGGCGCTGACTGCCCATGCTCCATGATGCCTGGTCGTGACTGGAGAACTGAGTAACTGGGATTCTTTGGCTGCCACCAGTGGTAGTAACACAGCAGTAGAGTTGCCATATAAATCTGGATGGCTGCTGCCTTGTGGAGCAATCAGGGCTCCTGAAGACTCAGGCTAGAAAGCCCACTGCCTCTCTACAGCCCAAAACAGAGGAGAGGAACACACACAAGGCTGGGGATGCTCTGGTCGGCCCAGAATCTCCACAACGGCTGAAGGACGACTCCATCTGCTTGCCCACAAAACACATTGACTCATACATTTTAATCAGTCCCAGTGGCGCTCCCCTCCCATCCTCTGGGAAGGGCAAATTTGAAACGTGCTAGGTTCAACAGAAGTTTTTTGCTCTCTAAAAGCCATCACAGAATCTAGTCCTTCAAAGAGCCCTGCATGAGACACAGAGCTATGGAAGAGAGCAACATTCACTGAGTGTGTCTCTAGGGAGATGCAATACACACCCAGCTGCGTCAAGAGAGGTCTTTGAGATGGAGAAATACTGGCCATGCCATCCACCCAAACCATTTTATTTTAAAGGCACATAAATAATTTCTAAAAATACCTGTGGTGCAAATTTCTTTTCAAATGCATCTCAAAATCTTGGAAACAGGGACCCTGTCTTTGTGGTGCACGGAGGCCTTCTATTTTCTCTTCCCCACTCTTCATGGAAAGGACCAACTTGTGTGAAATGAAGGAAATGATCTTGAGCTTTTTCTCCTTTTCTTAACCTGACCATGTAGTGTTGAAGCTGCTGTCAGGACTTGGGTCTTTGTAATTTCTATAAATTCATAACCAACATACGCATACACTCCTCCCTGCACCGCCTATTCCAGTAGCTGGCACATTAAGGGTGGCACCCAGGGGCCAGGCTTTTCTATCCAAGCAAAAACAAAGCTACTGTCAGTAAAAGCCACTGTCAACCCAACTTAAAGGCA